GTCATCGTACTTTTTATTTTTTTTTCATGGAAATATACTACCTATTGACATGTTTGTTTTATATATTTATAAATATGTACATAGATAGRTCATCGTTTATGCAACTGTAAATTTGTTCTTTTTTATAGTTTTTGATATTTGTTATTACTTCCTTTTTTACGAATCGTAATATTTTCAAGCTATAATGACACTAATTTTGTTTGCATATATTATGATGTTGATTATTGGATATTTTGCATGTTTCGATAACATTTAATATTTATTGCATATTGAAGTGAAATTGAATAATGCGGCGGCTGTTATAAACTTATAGATAACTCTATAGTCTATATTGTTTTCTAAATCTAATTAAGGTAAAAAATAGTAATTGTTGTTAAGTAGAAAATTCTAGTAATACATTTTGTCGACTACAAATCTATCGGTAAACTATAAGAGACTTATCGCTTTTAAGAGGAAACAAAATTKATCGTGCAAAATATTATTAAGTTATTTACCAAAAAGAATAATTTTTTTGAATTAAGTATTGAAACATTGTACTTAATTAAGCTATTACATTTATTTTTCATTGTTTTTACACTTGATATATTAATGATAATTGTTAGATAAAATATTTAATTAAGTACAACATTTTTACGATTATCTATAAAAATATTTAAATTATTATTTATAAAAAAAAATGTTAGCATATTTTCACGATGCATATTGTGCAGTATACTATGAATAAAAATCCATACTCTATATATATATACATAGAWATGTACTATATCGTCAATATTATCATCGAGAAGTAATTACCTATTATTAAATATGTATGTTTAATTTAAAAATGAAAAGGTTTTAGAATATTTTTATATATATTTTTATTGTAATTGTAGTCTTTTTAAGGGGAATAAAATGGTTATAATTATTTTTTATTTTAATGCCACGATTTAAGCACAGATGTTCATATTATTTGTTACGCTTGATTTTTTTTTATAGGTTTACATTTTTCGTGTTGTGTTTTTATGACTGATATTAAAAATTACGATAAACATCAGACGCGCATAATCGTTTTAAACACACAGTACCTGCACATCTATGACTGTATAAATCGTAGTACTTTATATTATACATGTAGTACTATTGGACAGATGTTATTTTCAAACAATTGACGACAATAACAAATTATAATAAAAAAATGATATTTTTTACGGTCCAAACTCCAAATTGTATTCTTTTTAACTAAACGACTAAACACATATCTATTATATCAATATAAATCGACATGGTTTTAACACAATAATATATTAATTGTTACACATATTATAATATTATGTGGTTGTCGGAATAGGTACGTACCTATATGTATATATCTATTATCTATATATAGTATAACGTATGTATATAAGTATTACCCATGTATATTGTGTTTAAAAGGTTTTCGAAAATCTCACTCTCTTTCGTCAGTCTATACATACGTCTTATGCACTTATGCACCGTGCAGCACGTCATATATACTTATTTTATATTATATATATTATATACACTTCGTCAAAATTAATGTGTACATTTTAATACCATTTGTTATTTGTGTTACGTTACACTTCCCGCAAGTTATTCATGAATAATCCCGCGCCGTCTGTATGTTTGATGCACTCTATAGTCATTTACTCTTTTTTTGTTATCACCATTGATCCATCTATTTTACCGGTTTCCGTCTGTGCTGTGTACGACGGATGACGACGACCATTCATATTATTATATACATTCAAATATATATACTTCATATATATAAAATATGTATATGGTTATTATATCTTATATTGTATATACCTGCTTGTATCATTATTTTATATTATTATTATTATCTCGGTTATAATCTGCTTCTGCTGCTGCCCTAACCTATGGCATTCGCTTCTAGCACACTGCACCGATCACTGTAAACAAAWCGACCCACTCCATTATTACCATCGGACTACGGTTATCTTATCCAATCTGATATACTGACGTATTTCGTACATAATATACAAACGCGCCATGCGCTGTTTTTGTATAATATCCTTTTCGATTCATTCTCATATTCGACTAATTTGTAATACATAAACCAAAAAGATATTTAATGTCCATAAAAAATTTTTTTWAAATAGGAAGTGCACGTGAAAAAACGTTTTCTAATGAAACTCACAACGATCATAACTATCGAGCACACARCACAAATATTTTTGAAACGTACTCACAAATTTTATAGTTACAATGTGTTCTTAATTTGGATCTTATATTTATTTCAAGACCAGAAATTATTTATAATAGGTAGGTAGTTAAAACAATTGCTATATATTGTTTTAATTATCTATTCTAAAGGCCACTGTACTTATGAGTTATTACTATTTACTTCTTATTAGCACTGATATTAATATATACCATTGWTACAATTAGAATCAATTAATAAATTATTATGATATACATATAATATATACGTCACAAAAATGGCACACCTCAATGCATTTTTTTATTTGTAATAGATATGTTT